ACAGTAAAAACGCTGGATGCAAGGTGGCCTTGATATGTTGGGGTCTGGAGGCAGAGAAAAGCCTCTGGGTCTCCCAAAGGGGGTTGAGATTTCCTCCTGGAATCCCTGTCATTGCCACATCCTTACCCTGACCAGCAGCCTAGCCCCAGCCCTCCACACTCCAGATGGAAGTGGGAACAGCAGAGGCTGGAGAGGAAAGCCAGCAAATGGGCAGTGGGCGGAGCCTCCTGTTCAAGCCTGGCCTGGCTGGAAGGGGAGGGGGCTGTGGGACAGGGCGCGTCAGATGCCATCAGCTCCCAGGGGACCTTTAAAGTCGCTGTGCTGCCAGGCGGGCCAGGGTGTCAGCAGAAGTCCCCTGCCTCCTCTTCGGACGCCTCCTGCCACCCCCCTGGGCTGCCTGTCCTGGGTATGAACTCCTGCTGCATGGTCTCTTGCACACCTCTCTCTAGCTCTCTTCTCAAGTCTATTTCTCTCTCCCTCTTCTGTTTTTTTTCCCTTTGTCTTTCTCTCTCTCTACCTTTCTTTCTGTCTCCCGCCCCCTACCCCCTCGACCGAATGTTTTCTTTTTCCTCCTATCATCATCTCCCATTCTGCCTTGTATCTTTCCACCTTTCTATATCTTCCATTCAGTGTCTCTGTATTTTTTTTGGTCTTGCTCATTTCTGTTTCTTGTTTTTCTTTCTCTCTGCCTCTTTCATTCTCCACATCTGCTTCTTTCTGTGTCTTGCCCTCACTGCTGAAAGTGCAGCAGCTCAGGGACAAGAGAGCCCTCACCAAGCCTTGGGGAAGGTTGGCCCTGCCCCTCTGAGGCCATTGAAGGAGCCCACTGTAAGCAGGATGGGTGAAGAGGGCATCTAGGATGGGGAGGACAGATCTTCCTTCTGGGCTGGTGGGATGGAGCCCTGGCTTTCAAGTGGTGGCACCATCTCACCCCAAGTCCTGATCCAGGTTAACTACTGTCTGGGCATTTCTTCCTGTTGCCCAATCCACTCAGTCTGCTGGGGTGGGAAGGACAGGGTGTTGGGCCAGAGCTGAGTCGGCAGGTTTTCACCAAGCTCCCAGGGTTAGCATCCTCTGAGATGGCAATGCTGGAGAACACTCATGGTTTGGTGCCCTTATACCCACCCCCTCCAGGCAGCCAGCTCTGACTGCACAAGGCAGACGTGTGACCCCTTCAGCCAGCTATGCCCCCGCTGCCCAGCACTGTGGGCCTGGCAGTCCTGTTCTTCTGGGCAGGCCAGACAGTGAACACCTTGATGCCCAATGCCACCCGAGTGCTGGCTTGGACCGAGGGCACAGCAGTGCACTCCCTGAGTGGCCTGGGGGTGCCCCACTACCGGCGGAAGCGCCACATCTCTGCCAGGGATATGAGTGCCTTACTGGATTATCACAACCACATCAGGGCCAGCGTGCACCCACCAGCTGCCAACATGGAGTATATGGTGAGTCCCTGTGCCCTCCCCAGTCCCCCTTCCAGCAAACACCACTTATCTCAACCTGCCTTGGAAGGGCTGGACCATTCACCAACCTGGCCCCACAAGCCAGTATCTGGGTGTCTGGACCATGTGGAAAGGGCAGGATTTAGTCTGTCCATTTTGTGGATGAGGGCACAAAGGTGATTACACAGGGCCTGCGGGGAGTTGGGCAGAGAACTGTTATTTATGGAGCACCTACTGTATGCCAGGCACTTCACATACCCTGAGGATATTCTTCCTTAGCGGTGGGAACTGTCATCTTCATTTTCCAAATAAAGAAACTGAGATGCAGAGAATTAATTTGCCCAAGGTCACCCAGCTGGGATTCCAAACTTTTACTTGCTGCAAAAGGTAATTGTCTTAGCCAACACAATACCCTGCCCAAGAATTTTGGCTCCCCACTGGGGACCTGCAGAGGGTGGTAGCTGTAGCTTTCTATGCTATTGTCTTTTTGCCCCAGGGGTGTGATGGCCATCCCCAGACCATCCTCAACAAGCCTGTGGAGGTAGATTTTGGAGCTGTGGGGACTGGTACGGGGGTAGGGGTGGGGTCTCCAGCTGAGAAAAACCAGCAGCTGACTGTGAGAGGAAGCTGGGATATCTACTCTCAAAGAGACAGGGCTAGTGGCTCTTACCCCAGCTTCCCAGAGTGAAGGAGGAAACTTTTCTCTTTATCACAGCCCCTCCTCTGGGACCATTGTCCCAAACCAGTCTGGAGACATAAGCTTCCAGCCCACCCACAGATTTCTTTAGG